CTTGGATTTTAGATCCAGAAACATCCAAACACTTGCTGCTGGGTGGGAAGAGGCCGTAGGGGTCAGAGCTCTTAGCTGCTAGCAAGAGAAGCCCACTCAGGCTGAGTTTAAAAACAGAGGCCGGGCACTGTGGCTTATGCTTGTAATCCCAGCACTTTGGGAGGTCTAAGGGGGGTGGATCACCTGAGGTCAGGAGTTTGAGACCAGCCTGACCAACATGATGAAACACTATCTTACTAAAAATACAAAAATTAGCCCAGCATGATGGCACGTGTCGGTAGTCCCAGCTACTTGGGAGGCTGAGGCAGGAAAATTGCTTGAACATGGGAGGCAGAGGTTGCAATGAGCCGAGATCATGCCATGGCACCCCAGCCTGGGTGACAGAGCAAAGCTCCATCTCAAGAAAAAAAACAAAAGAAAGAAAAGAAAATGAATTTATGGCCAGCTGAGAAGGATCGAGGAGACACAGAGACTAAAAATGACAGGTAGCCAGCTGGAAAGCCACAGCCACATCAAGCCCAAACATGCAGAGGCTGGCCTGGGGGGTGACACAGAAATGGCTGGGCATAGGGGCTCATGCCTGTAATTCCAGCATTTTAGGAGGCCTAGGTGAGCGGATCACTTGAGACCAGGAGTTCAAGACCAGCCTGACCAATATGGTGAAACCCCATCACCACTAAAAATACAAAATTAGCCAGGCATGGTTGCAGATGCCTGTAACTCCAGCTACTTGGGAGGCTGAGGCAGGAGAACTGCTTGAGCCTGGTAGGTGGAGGTTGTAGTGAGCTGAGATCACACCATTGGACTACAGTCTGATCAACAGAGTGGCTCTGTCTCAAAAAAAAAAAAAAAAAAAAAAAAAAAAAAAGACACATAGAGACAATTTCTATGCAGAATTGTCAGTGAGTGTCTCTCCTTTTGGGGGCAATGTCAGGGGATTTCCAGAATCTGGGAGTGGGCACCAAGCATGTGGCTGAGAATCCTGGACAGCAGCAACATCCAGATGTACTTAGCAGAGGAATAAGGGATGTGCCTGGCTGGGGTATCAACAAAGCCGTCAATGCCAGCTGGCTGTTGATGTTGATGCTATGCATCCTGTATATGAATTCTCCCATCAGAAACTATCTAGTTAGAAAGGTAAAGAAGAAAGAAAATCATGCTCCCTTTCCCCAAAGGAAAGGGCAAGGAGGCGGGAAGGTGGAAGGGAACTTCCTGGTGCTGCAGCCTGAATCTCCACTTGTGCTGCTGTCTTCCCCGCTAGACTCTGTACTTCCAGAAGGGGCTGGAGATAGGCACAATACCAGCCCCTGCCTTCTCTCCAGAAGTATTCCCCAACCCTGACATTCACAGTAATTGCTTCTTTCTGTTCCTCATTTTTTTTAAGGCAGGTTCTTGCTCAGTCACCCAGGCTGGAGTGCAGTGGTGTGATCTCAGCTCACCGCAACCTTCGCCTCCTGGATTCAAGCCATTCTTCTGCCTCATCCTCCCAAGTAGCTGAGATTACAGGCAAATGGGGCCATGCCCAGCTAATTTTTGTACTTTTAATAGAGTTGGGGTTCACCATATTGGCCTGGCTGTCCTCAAACTCCTGACCTTAGGTGATCTGCCCACCTCAGTCTCTCAAAGTGCAAAGATTGGGATCACAGGCGTGAACAACTGTGCCCAGCCAAAAACTAAAATTTAAAAAAACACACAATCTACAAGTTTCTCCTCTACCCCTTTTCTTTTCTTTTCTTTTTGAAACAGAGCCTTGCTCTCTCACCCAGGCCAGAGCGTAATGGCACAATCTCAGTCCACTGCAACCTCCAACTCCCAGGTTCACGTGATTCTCTTGCTTCAACCTCCTGAATAGCTGGAATTACAGGCATGTGTTACCACACCTGGCTAATTTTTGTATTTTTGGTAGAGATGGGGTTTCTCCATGTTGGTCAGGCTGGTCTCAAACTCTTGACCTTGTGATCTGCCCACATTGGCCTCCCAATGTGCTGGGATTACAGGCCTGAGCCACCTTGCCTGGCCTATCCCTTTTCCTTTCTATGGATTTTAGAAGAGTCCACACTGTTGGGCCTGTAGCATTTCTCAAAGTCTGGATTTCCCTGGTGCAGGTGAACCCATTCTCTGTCTTTTGTATTTGTGGCATATTTGCAGCTGGATTTATGCTCACCCCATTGGATTAGAGTTTGATCATGTTGGCAAGATTCAGTGGGTGATGTGATTGATCTCTTACTGGTGATGAATTCTATCCTATTGTCTGTCTTATTTTGTTAGTTTTTAAAATTAGCTTTTTAGAAATAGGGGTCTCATTTTGTCACCCAGGCTGGAGTGCAGTGACTCCACCATAGCTCCCTGAAGCCTCAAATTCCTGGGCTCAAGTGATCTGCACACCTCAGCCTCCTGAGTAGCTGAGACCACACACCACCACACCCAAACGTTTTTCTTTTTTGAGATGAATTCTCGCTCTGTCGCCCAGGCTGGAGTACAGTGGCGTGATCTCAGCTCATTGCAAACTCTGCCTCCCAGGTTAATGCAATTCTCCTGCCTCAGCACTCTGGGTAGGTGGAATTATAGGCACCCGCTCCCACACCCAGCTAATTTTCATATTTTTAGTAGAGATGGGCTTTCACCATGTCGGTCAGGCTGGTCTGGAACTCCTGACCTCAAGTGATCTGCCTGCCACAGCCTCCCCAAGTGCTGGGATTACAGATGTGTGCCATCACACCGCACCTGGCTAATGTCCAGCATTTTTTTTTTAGACTGAGTGTTGTTTTGTCACCCAGGCTGGAGTGCAGTGGCACAATCTCAGCTCGCTGCAATCTCTGCCTCCTGGGTTCAAGCAATTCTGCTGCCCGGCCTCCTGAGTAGCTGGAATTACAGACACCCGCTACCATGCCTAGCTAATTTTTGTATTTTTGGTAGAGACGGGGTTTCTCCATATTGGCCAGGCTGGTCTTGAACTGACCTAGTGATCCACCTACCCAAAGTGCTGGGATTCCAGGTGTGAGCCACCACGTCTGGTACCTAATTCCTATTCACTGGTCATGGATGGGAGCTATGGAACCTTTCACCAGAATACATGCTGGCCCCATCAGAACATCAGGGTTCAGTCTCCTAAGAGGTGTTCCTCTGTTTGTGCTACACACCAAAATAATCCATCTCAGTCCACTGTCAGACAACTTCCAGGAATGACAGTGGCTGTAGTCTAGCTGGAAAAACACTGAAGTAGGGGTCACCAGACCCTGGGACTCTTTTGACTCAGCCACTAACAACTTAATGTGGCCTTGGGAAAAAAAGAAAAGCTGGAGCGTCCATGCCTGTAATCCCAGCACTTTGGGTGGTCGATGTGGGAGGATTGCTTGAGCCCAGGAGTTTGAGAGCAGCCTGGGCAACACAACAAGAGCCCATCTCTACAAAAAATTTCAAAAATTTTCCAGGCGTGGCAGTGTCCCCCTGTAGTCCCAGCTACTCAGGAAGCTAAAGTGTGAGGAACACTTGAGTCCCGGAGGTCAAGGCTGCAGTGAGCCAAGGTCATGCCACTGCACTCAAGTTTGGGCTTCAAAGTGAGACACTGTCTCAGAAAAAAAAAGCTGGAGCTTTTGTTTCACATTTGTAAAAGGTAAATGATATTATCTCCTTCATGGAGTTACTGTGAGGATGGAAATACAATTATTTCTTTTCCCTCTCTTTTTAGAAATACAATGAGATAGGCATAGTGGCCAGGTGAGGTGGCTCATGCCTCTAATCCCAACACTTTGGGAGGCTGAGGCGGGTGGATCACCTGAGGTCAGGAGTTCCAGACCAGCCTGGCCAACATGGTGAAACCCTGACTCCACTAAAATTGCAAATATTAGCCCAGTGCGGTGGCACGTGCCTACAATCTCATCTACTCTGGAAGCTGAGGCAGAAGAATTGCTTGAACCTGGGAGGTGGAGGGTGTAGTGAGCCGAGATCATCCCACTGCACTCCAGCCTGGGAGACAGAGCAAGACTCCATCTCAAAAACAAACAAACAAACAAACAAAAACAAACAAAACCCGATGTGGAGGCTCATCCCTGTAATCTCAGCACTTTGGGAGGCCGAGTTGAATGGATCACCTGAGGTCAGGAGTTCAAGACCAGCCTGACCAACATGCAGAAACCCCACCTCTACTAAAAATACGAAATTAGCCAAGCATGGTGGCATTTGCCTGTAATCCCAGCTACTTGGGAGGCTGAGGCAGGAGAATTGCTTCAACCTGGGAAGCAGAGGTTGCAGTGAGCCAAGATTGCACTCCAGCATGGACAACGAGAAGGAAACTCTGTCTCAAAAATAATAATAATAATTAGATAGGCATAGGCCCAGCGCGTCGGTGGGATTCGAACCCCTGCACCTCGGGCGGGAGAGACACTTGGAGAGAAAAGCTGGGTCCCAGGTTTCCAGGCCTCTGGAGACCCAAACCTGTACTGCGGGTTTTCGGGCCGGATGGGGGAAGTGGTGCCCCGAGGCCCCCCAGTGTCCCAGGAACAAAGGCTGAGTGTTTGCTCTGTGGCTGAAGGTAAAATGCCCCCCACCCCGCAGTTCTGTCACCGCGGGGGGCGGGAGTGCGCTCCTCCCCAGCACAGTTTCCTGGTTCTCTGGCCAAGCCCTCTGACCTCCGAAGTAGACCCTTGTTGGGGGGGTGGGGCAGGGGACAGCACGAGGTCCCTGTCAGGTGCCTGCCAGCCTTGGGTGCCATGTCCTGAGCAGCTCTGCTGTCAGTTACTTAAACATGTGTGTGGCACTTTCTGGCTGCCAGGCGCTCAGTAGCATGCAGATAACTGAAATGGTTCCTTACAATGGCCTGTGAGGGAGGGGCAGCCTCACAGAGTCACCTGCTGGAGGGAGGTGCTGCTGGGGTGGGGTTGGGTGTGGCTGCTGCGTGCCAGGAGTGGCAGCCCCGCTGAAGGCACCTCCATCTGGAAGCTCCGGCCTGTGGCAGTGCAGTCCACAGGTTCCAGACGGGGCTGTAGGGGCAGCGTGAGGGCGGGAAGGCTCCCGGGGGTCAAATTAAGAGAAGGTGCCTGTTCCGGAGACCCCAGGGCGAGCTTTCCAGGCAGAGGGAAGCCCTGGGCCGGTTGTCATGGGGGTGTCGGAGTCTCTAGCTGGATTTACTGGGGCAACGAGGTTGGAAACGGAGACCAACTGGTGTGAGGCTCCGCCTGCTGAGAGCCGCAGGGAGGGGCTGGAGTCTGCTGTCAGTGGCCTGCAACCCCGACCTTCCACCTCTGGCAATTGCAGGAGCCCCCTCCCTGGTCTCTGCCCTCACTTACAGTGGGGCCAGCCGCCCCTGCACCCCAGCAGAAGCCAGGCTCTTACAGCGCAGCCCCCCCCCACTCCAGCGCTTGCCACCCCAGGCACCATCCCGGCTCCGGGCCCCTGCGCTGCCCGTTCTGTTCTGCATTCCCTCTGTCCTGTGAGGCAGACCTCTGCTGTCTTCACTGCTTTATTTCCCCAGACTCAGCCAGCATCGAAGGTGTGTCGTGTCCTAGGACCCTTGCAGCTGGCATGCAGGGAGGAGTGTGAGGCTCCCTGTCCCTCCTCAGACTCTCAGAATTCAGAAGAGCCACGCTTTTTTGTCCTTGCCCTGCTAGGCCAAAGGACGCCCTGCCTTTGTTTCTCTCTGGGGTAGACACCCTGAGCTTTTGCTGTGCACCTGCCACATGGAACAGGGAGCTGCCCCTGTTCCTGCCCTCCGTAGCTGACTCCGGCTTCCCTGGCCACCCTCAGCTCAGCAGGACCCCGGGAACCCCAGTGCCATGTGACACCTTCCATAAGTGTGGAATTCAGGAGAATGTGCCTTTGATCCCTGAGTCACCGCGTGGCTGACATGTGCCCAGGCATGAGAGTCAGTGACGGGCAGGAGTGAGCATGAAGACACCTCCTTGGTGCCCCTGCTTTCGCCCTTTCCTGAATTCTCTGGCCAGGTCTAAGGTTGAAATAAGTCCCGCCTGTTTTAACAGATGTTTATTAAACATCTGCCCTGGCCAGGCTCCGAGCATCCTCCAGGGTCTCTGTCCTGAACATGATAGGCCCCTCCTGGTGCTGGCGGGTAGAGGGGGAGCTGTTAAGTCCAGTGTGCCACAGGTGACTGCATAATTCCACATGGGACAAGAGGGAAAAAGAGCAGACCTTCCCTTTTATTTTTTATTTATTTTCTTTTTATAAATTGAAACAGAGCCTCGCTGTGTCGCCAGGCTGGAGTGCAGTGGTGCGATCCCGGCTCATTGCAACTTCCATTTTCCGGTTTCAAGCAACTCTCCTGCCTCAGTCTCCTGAGTAGCTGGATTACAGGCACCCGCCACCATGCCTGGCTAAGCCGACCTTTCCTTTTGTGAGAGGTACGCCAGTGTGGACAGCCGGGAGCAGAGATGAAACTGAGCGGAAGTGAGAGTCACCTTGCTGCCCTGCACATTGTCTCACACCTGTAATCTCGGCAATTTGGGAGGCTGAGGCTGGGGAGTCGCTTCAGCCCGGGATTTTATGACCTGCCTGGTCAGCATGAGACCCCTGTTTCTACTTTTAAAAATAAAAATAAGCTATTTTGGGCAGAGAGAAGTGCCTGTGCAAAGGCCCTGAGGTGAGTGTTTGCCAGGTTTGTTCAAGGAGCAGAGGGGAGGGTGTGAGGGGGAGAGGGCCAGGGGAGTTCATGCTCATCTGAGGGTGATGGGAAAGGGGTGTAGCTTGGGCCTCCCACGTGCTGTGAGAAGAGCTCTTCCTTGCTGTCGGTGGGAGGCCTCGAGGCAAGGAAGGTGTGGGGGCCTCACAGCCCAGCTGGTTGGAGAACATCACAGCTCCAAGGCCCTTCTCCCCCTCCAGCCTCCCTGCCCTTCACTATCCTGTCGCTGGTGAACGCCCCGTGTAAGCGAGGATTTTACTGCGGGGATGACTCCATCCGGTACCCCTACCGTCCAGACACCATCACCCATGGGCTCATGGTCGGGGTCACCATCACAGCCACCATCATCCTTGTAAGGCAGGAGGGGTTCAAAGGGACAGGGAGGGGGGCGGGATGGGGTACAGCCTTACCCTGGGTTCCTGATAGGGGCTGGCCTGGAGGTCTGTAGGGGGCTGGGAGACACAGCCTTGCCCCGAGTGGTACTTGTGGGAAATAGGAACCCCCTTTTGTTTTTTGAGATGGAGTTTCACTTTTGTTGCCCAGGCTGGAGTGCAATGGCAGGGTCTCTGCTCACTGTAACCTCCCCCTCCTGGGTTCAAGTGATTCTCTTGCCTCAGTCTCCCCAGTAGCTAGGACTCAAGGCGTGCATCATCACACCTGGCTAGTTTTGTATTTTAAGTAGAGACGGGTTTCACCATGTTGTTCCGGCTGGTCTTGAACACCCGACCTCAGGTGATCTGTCTGCCTCAGCCTCCCAAAGTGCTGGGATGGCAAGCGTGAGCCACCGAGCCCAGCTAGGGCCCTTTCAGAGTCCCCAGCTCTGCAGCAGCCTTGGGGAGGCCTGTGGGGAGGACTGAGGCCCAGTGAGGGCCCACGGGCTGACTGGGAACCCCGCTGGTCACCGCGGCTGCCCCACACACAGGTCTCGGTGGGAGAAACCTACCTGGTGCACACGGACCGGCTCTATTCCCACTCCGACTTCAACAACTACGTGGCTGCCGTGTACAAGGTGCTGGGGGCCTTCCTGTTTGGGGCGGCCGTGAGCCAGTCGCTGACGGACCTGGCCAAGTACACGATCGGCCGCCTGCGCCCCAACTTCCTGGCCGTCTGTGATCCCAAGTGGAGCCAGGTCAACTGCTCGGTCTGCGTGCAGCTGGAGAGGGTGTGCAGGGGAAACGCTGCTGACGTCACCAAGGCCAGGTGTGTGTGGATGAGCAGCCTTCACTCTGGGGGGCAGTGGGAGCTGAAGAAGCCCCAGAAGCCAGATGGTGAAGAGCCAGCAGGCAGTTGGTCAGGCAGGAGTGAGGCCTCAGGGCTCCAGGTGCCCCACAGACAGCAGGAGGCCGGGGGGAGCATGCTCTGTCTGCCCCGGGTCTCAGCCCTGCCCTCTTCTGGGCTGTCTTCTTTTTTTTTCAAAGATGGGGTTTCACCATGATGGCCAGGCTGGTCTTGAACTCCTGACCGCAGGTGATCCACCCACTTGGCCTCCCAAAGTGCTAGGATTACAGGCGTGAGCCACCACGCCTGGCCATGCGCTGTCTTCTTACCATCTCTACTGATAGGTCCTGAAACGTTTCAACTCATCATTGTCCTTTTTAAAAAATCGAAATATTGACTGGCAAGCCTAGGGTAATGTCAGACCAAAAAAAAAATAATAATTAAAAATCAAAATAAAATTTGTGTAAGATAAAAGTCACCATTTCTTCCATTTTAATGTGTACAGTTCATTTTTAGTACATTCACAGTACTGTACAGCCATCTCCTCTACCTAATTCCAGAATATTTTCATCTCATCAGAAGGAAACCCCTCAGCATGGGTAACATGGCAAAACCCCGTCTCTATGACAAATCAAAAAATTAGGCCAAGCTAGGTGGCTCACGCCTATAATCCCCGCACTTTGGGAGGCTGAGGTGGGCGGATCACCTGAGGTTGGGAGCTCGAGACCAGCCTGGCCTACATGAAGAAATCCTATATCTACTAAAAATACAAAATTAGCCAGGCATGGTGGCACACGCTTGTAATCCCAGCCACTCGGGAGGCTGAGGAAGGAGAATCGCTTGAACCCGGGAGGTGGAGGTTGTGGTGAGCTGAGATTGTGTCATCGCAGCCCAGCCTGGGCAACAAAAGTGAAACTCCATCTCAAAGAAAAAAAAAATTAGCCAGGCCTGGTGGTGGGCACCTGCAGTCCCAGCTACTGGGGAGGCTGAGGCGGGGGATCACTTGAACTTGGGAGGTAGAGGTTTCAGTGAGCCAAGATTGTGCCTACCCCAGGCTGGGTGACAGAGTGAGACCCTGTCTCGAAAAAATGAAAGGAAAGAAAACAAAGAACCCCTGTACCCATTAGCTGTCACTCCTCCCCCAGCCCCTGGCAACAACCACTATCCTGTTTTCTGTCTGTAGTTTTGCCTGTTCTCAATGTTTCATATAAATAGAATCATACACTATGTGGTCTTTGGTGTCTGCCTTCTCTTTTTCTTTTTCTTTTTTTTTTTTTTTTTTTTTTTTTGAGATGGAGTTTCACTCTTCTTGTCCAGGCTGGAGTGCAATGGTGTGATCTTTGCTTACCGCAACCTCCACCTCCTGGGTCCAAGCAATTCTCCTGCCTCTGCCTCCTGTGTAGCTGGGACTACAGGCACCCACCAACACGCCTGGCTGATTTTGTATTTTTTACTAGAGATGGGGTTTCTCCAGGTAGGCCAGGCTGGTCTGAAACTACTAACCTCAGGTGATCCACCCACCTTGGCCTCCCAAAGTGCTGGGATTATAGTCATGAGCCACTGTGCCCGGATTCTTTTTCTAATTAAAAAAATTTGGAGGTGCTGTGCAAGATGACTCACACCTATAATCCCAGCACTTTGGGAGGCTGAGGCGGGCAGATCACCTGAGGTCAGGAGTTCGAGACCAGCCCAGCCAACATGGTAAAAACACATCTCTACTTAAAATACAAAAATTAGCTGGGTGTAGTGGTGCATGCCTATAATCCCAGATGCTCAGGAGGCCGAGGCAGAGAATCGGTTGAACCTGGGATGCAGAGACTGCAGTGAGCCAAGATGGTGCCGTTGCACTCCAGTCTGAGTGAGAGAGAGAGACTCTGACTAAAAAAAAAAAAAAAAAAAAAAAAAAAAAAAAAAAAAAAAAAAAAAAATTGGGGCCGGGTGCGGTGGCTCAAGCCTGTAACCGCAGCACTTTGGGAGGCCGAGGCGGGTGAATCACGAGGTCAAGAGATTGAGACCATCCTGGTCAACATGGTGAAACCCCGTCTCTACTAAAAATACAAAACATTAGCTGGGCATGGTGGCGCATGCCTGTAATCCCAGCTACTCAGGAGGTTGAGACAGGAGAATTGCCTGAACCCAGGAGGCGGAGGTTGCGGTGAGCTGAGATCACACTATTGCACTCCAGCCTGGGTAACAACAGTGAAACTCCGTCTCAAAAAAAGAAAAAAAATTGGCCAGATGTGGTGGTTCATACTTGTAATCCCAGCACTTTGGGAGGCCGAGGTGGGCAGATCACTTGAGGCCAGGAGTTCGAGACCAAACTGATCAACATGGAGAAATCCCATCTCTACTAAAAATACAAAAATTAGCCTGGCCTGGTGATGGTTGCCTGTAATCCCAGCTACTCAGGAGGCTGAGGCGGGAGAATCGCTTGAACCTGGGAGGCGGAGGTTGCAGTGAGCTGATTGTGTTCCAGCCTGGGAGACACGAGACTCTGTCTCAAAAAAAAAAAAAAAAATTTTTTTCTCAAAACTATAGAAAAAAAAAATAAAAAGAAAAAAGAGGGTAAGTAAATAGAATAAAAACAAAATTGTTTTTGTATGTTTTTACTGATTGAACACAGTTAGTGCATTCTTGTGTTTTGGAAGTTCATGTAACGTTCTGTCCGTTTTTGCTTTATGGATTTTGGAGTTCTGTGGTTTACTACATTTACCTTTATAATTGCTATATCTTTTTGATAGATTGACCCTTTCATCACCATAGAATGATACATATGAGTTTTGTCTCAACAATTTTTGTCTTGATGTCCATTTTGTCTGATATTAATATAGCTATTTTGGCTCTCTTTTCATTACTGTTTGCATGGAATATTTCTTTTTTTCCAATCTTGTACTTTCAACCTATTTATGTCTCTGACTCTAAAGTAAATCTCTTATACCTTGCATAAAATTGGGCCATGTTTTTTATGTATTGTCCAGTCTCTGATTTTTTCGAGAGAGAGGCTCACTTTGTTACCTAGGCTGGAGGATGGTGATCTCAGCTCACTGCAGCCTTGGACTCCCAGGCCAAGCCATCTTCCAGCCTCAGTCTCCCAAGTGGCTAGGACAGGCCGCCACATTCAGCTAACGTTTATCTATGTTTTTTGTAGAAACAGGGTTTTGCCATGTTGCCCAGGCTGGTCTTGAACTCCTCAGCTCAGGTGATCCACCCTCTGTGGCCCTCCAAACTGCTGGGATTACAGGTGTATGCCACCACGCCCAGCCAGATCTCTGACTTATTTTTTGTGTTTTTTTTTTTCCAGCCTATGTTAGTCTTTTTATTGAATTAAGGCATTTAATGAATCTCTGACTTTCAGTTGGAGTGTTTAATCTATTTATAGTCAGTGTAATTACTGATAAGGAAGGACCTCCGTCGTTTTGTTCAGGATTGCCCAGGTTATGTCTTCCTTTTTCAGTTCTTTGTCACTGTCTTTTTTTTTTTTTTTTTTGCCTTTAATTTTTCTTTTAGTGATGAGGGTCTTGCAATTTTGCCCAGGACTTGAACTCCTGGGCTCAAACCATCTCTGCCTTCCAAGTAGCTGGGACTACAGGCATACATCACCACATCTGACTGGTTTTTACAATGTTTTTTTTCTTTTTTAGAAATAGTGTCTCACCATGTTGCCTAGGCTGGTCTGGAATACCTGGGCTCAAGCAGTCCTTCTGCCTTGGCCTCCCAAAGTGCTGGGATTACAGGCATGAGCCCCCGAGCCCTTTCAGGCTAAATAATCTTTTTCTCTCTTTTTTTTTTGAGACAGAGCCTGGCTCTGTTGCCCAGGCTGGAGTGCAGTGGTTTGATCTCAGCTCACTGCAGCCTCCACTTCCTGAGTTCAAGCAATTCTTCTGTCTCAGCCTCCCCAGCAGCTGGAATTATGGGTATGTACCACCACACCTGGCTAATTTTTGTATTTTCATTTTTATTATTTATTTTGTTTTTTGAGACAGAATCTCACTCTGTCACTCAGGCTGGAGTGCAGTGTACAGTGGCATAATCTTGACTCAGTGCAACATCTGCCTCCTGGGTTCAAGTGATTCTCCTGCCTCAGCCTCCCGAGTAGCTGGGACTATGGGCGTGTACCACCACACCCTGCTAATTTTTTTTCTTTTTTTTTTTTTTTTTGAGATGGAGTTTCGCTCTTGTTACCCAGGCTGGAGTGCAATGGTGCAATCTCGGCTCACCACAACCTCCACCTCCTGGGTTCAGGTAATTCTCCTGCCTCAGCCTCCTGAGTAGCTGGGATTACAGGCATGCGCCTCCATGCCCAGCTAATGTTTTGTATTTTTAGTAGAGACGGGGTTTCATCATGTTGGCCAGGCTGGTTTCAAACTCCTGATCTCAGATGACCCACCCACCTCGGCCTCCCAAAGTGCTGGGATTACAGATGTAAGCCACTGGGCCTGGCCTGGCTGAATAATCTTAACTGACCTATTTTCTCTGTTTTTTTTTTTTTTTGAGACGGATTCTCACTCTGTCACCCAGGCTGGAGTGCAGTGGTGCGATCTTTGCTGTCTGCGACCTCCGCCTCCTGGGTTTAAACACTTCTCCTGCTTTAGTCTTCTGAGTGCTGGGATCACAGGCATGCGCCACCACACCTGGACAAGTTTTGTACTTTTAGTAGAGACAGGGTTTCACCACGTTGGCCAGGCTGGTCTCGAACTCCTGACCTCAGGTGAGCCGCCTGCCTCAGCCTCCCAAAGTGCTGGGATCACAGGCATGAGCCACCTCGCCTGACCTGTTTTGTTTTGTTTTAAACTGTGTGTTTAGAATATTATAATGTGGCCACTCTGGAAATAGGAGTCTCCCTCCTTCCTGGGGTGTGTCCTTGCTGTTTGCTGCAGTGGTTATTTAATGACTTTTCTGATTGTGAAGTCTCTATCTTTTGTCATGAGTGGCCATTTCCTCCTGTTCTTTTAGCCTGGTGGTCAGCTAGTGATAGGACAGAGATTTCTTTAAAAATCTTGAAGCAAAAAACAAACAAAAAAAACCCCACAACACTCCCGAGTTTGTAGAAGGGGTCTGCATGGCTGTGGGGTCAGCCCTTCCATGGTGAAACAGATTTACTCTGCCTTCACTTTCACTTCCTGCTTGTGCAGAGCTGGAAGGCCAGCCCGATGTGAGAGTGTAGGGCCCTCGCAGGCCTCCTCCAAGCTCCTGCACTGCTCTTGTCTTGTAGGTTCCAAGCCTTCATTCCCCAGAGCGTTTTATTCCCTGGCCTTTCCTCCTAGGCTGTTTGGCTCGTCTGTTTTTTGTCTCATCTGCTCTCATGGCCCCAGGCAGCAGAGACTAACAAATTTGTTGTGAACGTTTCTTACAAATGTCCTCCAGGTAGCACCTCAGCACTGGGAGAATGTCCAGTTGGGTGAGATCAAGACCAGCCCTCGAGCCATACCCCAGTTCGCAGTTGCAAATAAGGCCCCTTCTTGGAACCTGTGCTGGGTGTGTGGTCTGTTACCCTCAGACCACCACAGTCTAGGCAGTGGGAGAGGGACCCACCCACTTTTAACTAAAGATAGTTAAAAAGCCACAAAGCTATCTGTCTTTTTTTTTTTTTTTTTTGAGGTGGGGTCTCGCTCTTTTGCCCAGGCAGTGGCGTGATTTTGGCTCACCGCAACCTCCACCTCCCAGGTTTTCAAGCGATTCCCCTGCCTCAGCCTCCCGAGCAGCTGGGATTATAGGCATGTGGCACCATGCCTGGATAATTTTTATATTTTTAGTAGAGACGGGGTTTCACCATATTGGTCAAGCTGGTCTCAATCTCCTGACCTCATGATCCGCCTGCCTCGGAACCCCAAAGTGCAGGGATTACAGGCGTGAGCCACCATGCCCGGCCTCAACTGGATTACATTAATCAAGCGTTCCTCTGGTTCCTGCAAGCTTTTGATTAGTTCCAAAAAAGTTTATTGTGACTTTTTTGCCAGTTTTTTGTTGCTTCCTATTTTCTGTGTTTCATTCATGTCCTTCACGGGATCTCAAATTTATATAAAAAGAAATCTTCCTTCAGTTCCACAGATGCGAGAAAATGCTGAAAAGAAACGCAGTGAAAACGAAACCGGTGTTGCCTGCTTGCTGGACACTACCGTCCGCCTGGGTGTTGTGTTCAGGCCTCAGAGTCTTCACAGGTGAGGCGTCTCATGCCACAGCCCCAATTGGAGACTTTGATTCCATCATCAGATAACTGGAAAGGACACAGGGAGCAGCCTCTGCTCCTGGGATTTGGTGGCCTGTAACATCGGCAGCTCCTGTGTTGAACCCTCCCTTCTTTGGGAGGGGCGGGGGGGAGGGGAGGTTGGAAGATGCCGAGTGAGCCACCCGCCCTCCGACCTTCACTCCCTTCCCTGGACCTCATTTTTTGCAGCTGTAAAATGGGTGGGTCGTGGTGGTGATGGGGGCACTCACTGGCTTGTTTGTGAAAACAGGAGGCCCTGGGCTGGCCGGTTCTGTGCCCCCGGCCTTGGAGCTGCCATCTGTGCAGTGGGCATGGGAGGGCCTGGCAGGGCACAGGCTGAAGCGTCCTCTCCCGTCCCAGCTCTATGTGCAGACGCGGCTCTGCTGGAAGTGGGCGCAGCTGCTGCGGCCCACGGTCCAGTTCTTCTTGGTGGCCTTTGCCCTCTATATGGGCTACACACGCGCGTCTGATCACAAACACCACTGGAGCGATGTCCTTGCTGGCCTCCTGCAGGGGGCGCTGGTGGCTGGCCTCACTGTGAGCTTCTGACCCTGACTCACCCCCTGTGCTGTCCAGAGACCACTCCCTGCACAACCCTGGTCCTTCCCTGCACACTCTTGCCCCACAGAGTCCTCCCCTGGGACCCCTTCCTCCAACCGTGGTCCTTCCCTGGAACCCCTCCTTCCCCCCATTTATCCCCGGGACTCCTACCCCCCAACCCCAGTTCTTCCCTGAACCCCTCCCTCCTCCCCATTTGTCCCCTGGGACCTCTTCCCCCAACCCCAGTCCTTTCTGAGGGCCCCTCCCTTCCCCCCATTTCTCCCCTGGGACCCTTTTCCCCAATCCCAGTCCATCCCTGGGACCCCTCCTTCCCCCATTCCTCTGCTGAGACTACTTCCCCCAACCCCAGTCCTTCTCTGGACCCCTCCCTTACCCCCCACATCCTACCCTGGGACCCCTTGTCCCAACCCCAGTCCATTCATGGAACCTCTCATTTCCCCCATTCCTCCCTGGTACCCCTTCCCTCAACCCCAATCTTTTCTGGGGGCCCCTCCCTTCCACCCATTTCTCCCCTGGGACCCCCCTCCCCAAACCCAGTCCTTCCCTGGACACCTTCTTCCCCCAGTTCCTTTCCTGGGTCTCCTGCCTGCACACCGCAGCCCTTCCCTGGGCCAATCAGCACCCCAGTGCTCTCCACTGGTCCTCTACTAAGAGGGCTCTCTCCCCTGGGACCCTGTTCCTCCCCCTCCTACTCATGCCCATGTCCCTGGTGCCTGCCCAGCCCCTGCCCATTCTCACCTTCCTCCACTCTACCAGGTCCACTACATCTCAGACTTCTTCCAAGCCCGACCCCCACAGCACTGCCCAAAGGAGGAGGAGCTGGAACGGAAGCCCAGCCTGTCACTGACACTGACCCTGGGAGAGGCTGACCACAGCCACTATGGGTACCCGCACTCCTCCTCCTGAGGCTGGACCCCTCCCAGGCAGGGAATGGCTGTGAGTCCAGCTGAGGCTGGCCCTCCAGGTGGTCCCTCTGGCCATGGGTAGGCACTGAGGGCTCCAGACAGGCTCCAGGAACCCTGGGCTGATGGGAGCAGTGAGCAGGCTCTGCTGCCCCTGCCCTGCACAGGACCAGCGTTCTGGGGAAGCCTAGGTAACCCTGAGCATTTGGAGGGGGACCTGTTCCCGTAGCTCCCCAATATCGCCATTCTTTTATGGGTTAAAGAAGGAACTGTTTTGTAAAATGTAAGGTACATGTGATTTTTAGTAAAATAGGGCATTGGTTTGATGAGTGGTCTCAGTGCCTCTGTTGCATATGGCCATTCTGGGACGGTGTTCCTCCCGTCAGAGGGCTCTGCAGAGCTCAGGCTTCAGGCCGTCTCACCCCCTGTGACAGTGGAGGGCAGCAGCCAAGCCCACCCCTTGCATTTCTCCCTGCACGGTGCTGGGGTCAAGTGTCAGATGGGTCAGCACACCCCTGCCCTCTGCTCATGTCCACCCGTTCACCTGGGGGCCAGGCTTCTGAAATGGGTAATTCAGGAGCTGGTTTCCCTGAAGTGATGGCAGAACACACAGAGCTTACTTTTTCAACAGGTGGGTAGAGGGTACATTTGTTTTTTGTACAGGCGGTAACTTAAGTATCTGCTGATGTTTTCTTTGCACCTGGAACCTCTCTTATTCCCTCACCCTGCAGGCTGTTCCTATCAGGCCTTAGCCTACGGGAAGGGCGGTGTACCCCTGGGGGCAAAAATGCAGCCTGGGAGCCCCACCCAAGGGGCCGCGATGGAGACCTGCTCTTGACGGACGGGAAGGAAGGTGATCCAGATCCTGCGGAACTCCAGCTGAACGTCAGGGACTTGCCTCCATGCAGGTGTCAGACGGGATCCTGACCAGGAAAGTCACACTGAAGCCTCCCAGGTATCCTAGGGTGCCCCAGCAGGCAGTGACACCCGAGGACTAAGGAGGCTGTGTCTGGGCTCAGAATGTATCTCTGGCAGTGGGTGGGAGAGAGGTTCCCAGCCAGATCTCACGGGCAGAGTCACCTGCATCAGGAGAAAATGGGAATGACTCAAGTGCCCTGACACCAGCCAACACCTCCGTCTCCTCCCAGGTGCAATGGCCTTGAAAGCCAGGACCACAGTGAGGGTTGAGCATGAGTCTGTGGGAGCAACTGCAGTGCACAGGACTCTGGTGTGGTCTGCTGGAGGCAGGTGGCTGTGTTGGGATGAGTGGTGAAGACAGAGGAGCAGAGGAAGTTTGGAGTGAGGTAGCGGACGTGGCTGAGGCCGGCTGCTGGGGGAGTCTCAGTGCTTCAGAAAGAGCATGTGCACCTCACGGCTGAGAGCAGAGAAAGAAAGGGCTGTACTGACCAGAGCCATCCCGAGAGGGTCCTCAGGAACCAGGAGCACTGCTCTGCATCTGTTAGGAAAAGCCGGGACGCAGGGTGTCGGGCTCGGAAATTCTCACAGGTTCCCAGTACCAAGATGGCAGGTAGGGCAGCAGTTAGGACACATTTCTCCACCCACACGGAGCTCTGGGGAAGCTCTCATGCGTAATTTTGTGTTTACACTGCCCATACCCTTATAGTTTCATGGAAAAAAATAGTATTTTCTCTCGTTGTACAAGGAGGATTTTTTTTTCTGTTGTTTCTCACAGGAAACTCAGATTCTTAGCCATGTAAATATCATTTCCCATGGCTTTGTCCTCGTGGCCCGGCATTTCTCCCACCTTCTGAGGTTAACTAGTTTTTGAAGCCCTCCTCCTGACCGGGCACAGTGGCTCACGCCTGTAATCCCAGCACATTGGAAGGCCGCGGTGGGTGGATCACAAGGTCAGGGGATCGAGACCATCCTGGCCAACATGATGAAAACCTATCTCTACTAAAAATGCAAAACTTAACCAGTCGTGGTGGTGGACACCTGTAATCCCAGCTATTCGGGAGGCAGGTTGCAGCAGCTGAGATTGCGCCACTGCTCTCTGACCTGCTGACAGAGCGAGATTATGTCTCAAAAGAAAAGGAAAGAAAAGAATACTCCTCCTGAGTATTTCATAATATGCAGGATTTTTTTTGAATGTGTCAGCTGCCATGTGTTATTCTGGTTTTGTAGGAAACCATGCATACTTTGTTTTTTAGATACAGAGTCTCATTCTGTTGCCCAGTCTGGAGTGCAGTGGTGCAATCACTGCTCACTGCAGCCTCAACCTCCCAGGCTCAAGCGATGCTCCTGCCTCAGCCTCCTGAGTAGCTAGGACAACAGCGCCCACCACCACACCCCACTTTCATGCTTACTTTTTTTTTTATAGGTGCATACTGAAGTATTTAGGAGTGAAATTTTGTGAGATCTGCAAATTACAATATTTCATAATGTAAAAACATGAAGCAGACAGGGCGACATATGAGTAACTGTTAAATCTGTTTTGTGTATGTGGGTATCATTATGCCACTCTCTGGACTGCATTTTGAAAAATTTTAAGTCAAACAAGGAAAACGCTGCCTGAGAAAATTTTCCTAAGTTAAAAATGTCATTACTTTTACTTAGTGAGACAATATTTCTTCTTTTTCTTTTTTTTTTTTTCTTTTTTTGAGGAGTCTTGCCCTGTTGCCCAGCCTAGAGTGCAGTGGTGTGATCTTGGCTCACTGTAATATCTGCCTCCTGGGTTCAAGCGATTCTCCTGCCTCAGCCTCCCAAGTAACTTGGATTGCAGGCGCGTGCCACCAAACCCAGCTAATTTTCGTATTTTTAGTAGAGATGCCATTTTATCATGTTGGCCAGGCTGGTCTCTAACTCCTGACCTCAGGTGATCCACCTGCCTCAGCCTCCAAAGTGCTGGGATTACAGGTGTGAGCCACCCACCTGGCTATTAATTCCTCAACTGAATTTCTGTTTGAATTGGAACAACATAAAATCCTAATTTCGATAACATTATTTACATTTTTTATGTTAGTTGCTAGAACCCGATGTGAGAAGGCAGCATTTCATCAACCTCACCTGGCAGTGGTGTGGCCTGCGGCCTTCTGGACAGCATTGGGGGTGGGGATTTGGGGTCGTCTGAGCCCCTGGGCTGGCTCAACAATGTGGCCTGGGCCTTTTCCCAGAGGCTTCTTAGCCCCAAGCTGATTGTCCACCCCCAGTCTCCTCAACAGCGAGAGGCACATTGTCCTGCTGTGTAGAGAATCTTAGTTCTTCTGTCTCCTGTCACATATTTTCAGGAGCTGGACAGCTCCCTGGTCCCATCCCCTGTCTCAGAAATGACTTCTCAAGTCATACCCTGCCACAGCATTTTGTTGGCATGTTTTGTTGTTGTTCTTTGTTTTGAGATAGGGTTCCACTCTTCTTGCCCAGGCTGGAGTGCAGTGGCACAACCTCGACTCACTGCAACCTCTGCATTCTGGGTTCAAGCAATTCTCCTGCCTCAGCCTCCCGAATAGCTGAGATTACAGGCACCTGCCACCACACCCAGCTAAGTTTTTTGTATTTTTATAGAGACAGGGTTTCACCATGTTGGCCAGACTGGTTTCAAACTCCTGACCTCAAGTGTTCCACCTGCCTCAGCCTCCCAAAATGCTGGGATTACAGGCGTGAGCCACCACACCCAGCTGAGCCTCTTCTGTGACAGTTGTGATATGTTGGATCTAAGCCCAGTTTTGTTTTTACTCTGACTTGCTGTTTTATAAGCTGTCAGCCTAGTTTAGATATTTTAATGGCATTACAGGGATGGGAAATCCCTGGGAAGAATTAGCTGACCAGGCAAGGTGTGTGGTGAGGGCATTGCATGGCAGGTGGAAGTTTAGGCTATTTGGGACTAAGTTACAGCAATGGAATTTATGAATGAATTAGCCGAGTGAGTGAATAAATGACTGAGTAAAGAAGATTTACCTGAGGCTGGGTGCGGTGGCTCACGCCTGTAATCCCAGCATTTTGGGAGGCCAAGGCGGGCAGAGCACCTGAGGTCAGGAGGTCGCGACTAGCCTGAGCAACGTGGAGAAATCCCGTCTCTACTAAAAAAAAAAAACAAGCAAACAAACAAAAACATAAAAACAAATTAGCTGGGCGTTGTGGTACATTCCCGTGATCCCAACTACTTGGGAGGCTGAGGCAGGAGAATCACTTGAATCTGAGACATGGTGGTTGCTGTGAGCCGAGGTCATGTCATTGTACTCCCACCTGGGTGACAGGAGCGAAACTCCATCTCAAGAAAAAAAAATGACTTACCTGTAATTCCGAGGCCCTCTGCCCTTACCTGGAGTCAGGGCAGGAAGGATGACAGATGTGGATGGGAGGGCGTCACTGCAGGTGCTCACCTGTCTGACTGGAAACCCCTTGTGGATAGGCAATGCAGCCACAGCAGCTGGTGCGCTTCCCTCCTTCAGGGGCTTCCTGAGTCCAGGACCACACAATAGGCCGCACCACAGGGAATCCAAAACGGCACATGAGGGATGTTTCATCACAACTGAGCAATATGTACAGCAGTGGAGGTATCTAACAGGAAAGGCAGTTCTATGCTCTTGGAGGGGTTTGGGTGTTTTCCTTTTTTGAGACAGGGTCTCACTCTGCTGCCCAGGCTGGAGTGCAGTGGTGCAGTCACTGCTCACTGCAGCCTCGACATCCCAGGCTCAAGCAATCCTCCCGCCTCAAGCTCCCGAGTAGCTGGAAGTACAAATGTGTGTCACCACACCCGGCTCATTTTTGTATTTTTTGTAGAGACAGGGGTTCTGCCATGTTGCCCAGGGTGGTCCCAAATTCTCAGTCTCAAGCAGTCCTCCTGTCAGCCTCCCAGAGTGCTGGAATTACAAGTGTGAGCCCCTGCACCTGGCCAATGGTATGGGTTGTCTTTTTTTGTGTTTTTTGTTTTTTTTGAGACAGAGTCTTGCTCTGTCACTCATGCTGGAGTGCAGTGGCACAATCTTGGCTCACTGCAACCTCTACCTCCTGGGTTCAAGCGATTCTCCTGCCTCAACCTCCTGAGTAGCTGGTATTACAGGCACCCACCACCATGTCAAGCTAATTTTTGTATTTGTAGCAGAGATGGGGTTTTGCCATGTTGGTCAGGCTGGTCTTGAATTCCTGACTTTGTGATCCACCTGCTTCAGCCTCCCAAAGTGCT